AAAAAATGTACAGGCGCACTGTGAACTAGCTAAAATATAAATCACTATATTTTAAATACATGAGATCTTTAGTAACTTCTGCCTAAATTTGTGATTCTGTATTGAGTTGTTAAAACATTTTATTGTAATTTAGCAAAAAAGCATCTATGTAAAGTCACTACCAAAACAAAACATTTTAAATCCTCCATAAACGAGAAAATAAATAAGAAAGCACACAGCATGTTTTGTGTATCATTCAGCTTCAGCTCTCCACCGATGAAGCTGCTATGTCATGTTTGTTTCTACATGTAAACAAGAGTATCATCAGCATAGAGCGCTACATAAAACACTGACACACTGTTTAAAAGGGTCAACAGTGAACCTGCAGACAAACAACACACTGAATTTTACAAGTTTACTTTTCTTTGTGAGCTTTTTGTTCCTGGTCAATGTGTGTGCTTGTATTCATATCTTCCTGTACATTTTATTCTCTGTGGTTGTGAAATTATAAAGAGAGCTTGTTACGAGAGACTGAGGGCCTGATTAATTAAGAAGCATCTTAGCGCTAATAGCTCTAAACATTGCGCATCATTGCTAAAGTATTATACAAAACAATAACATTTACTGTATATAATATAGGATTTGTTTTACACTGATGCAAAATGTTGTTTGATCATAATTGCATATTTTAGTCGTGATTGACATTTTTAAATTCATCTAAGCGATATAGGAGATACATTTATGAGATGGGTGGGATAGAAAATAGAGTAAAACATAGTCATCCAGCATGTGTGCAGTTTGTGGACGGACTCTTGTTCCTGAGGACGGTCAGCAGGAAGAGTCCACAGCAGTACACCAGACTCTTCACTGTCAGCACTGTGTAGAGCAGCAAGAGCAGCTTCACCTTGTATGGAGACGGGACAGAGGGATCCGCTGCAGGTGATGGAACAGAAAAAGAATAAAATCATCAACAACGTCAGTCCTCTGTTGAACTTTGTCTGATAGATCTGTAAGACAGAGGCAGTACATCCAGACTCTCTGAGCTCCAGCTGCTGTCCGTCAGCAGAGGGCAGCTCCTCTAAACATCCGCACTCTGTTGTCTCCAGGAGATTCTGACCACAGGAGGAAACATGGCAGAGGCCACACACAGCAGGGAGCACTAGAAGTGACGTGAGGGTAAACTTGTGGATGTTATGAGAGCAGCCCACTCAAATATGACACATTTTGCTTAATTTTTGCAGGTTTGCTGTTTAACAGGAAGACACAGCAGAAAATAGGCTTCCGTTTTTATTTCTAGGGTACTGTGAGGCCATATAAGGCTGACTAATGAGAAAATGAATTTTGAAGCCTCAGTTGTGATTTTGCAGCTCCTTTGTCTCTTCTTTACACAAATGCATCAAACATCCCAGTTCATCAGTATCTGTCACTGGCATATGACTCTTCTTGTGGCATGAACTCTACTTGTATCACATCTGGCTCACTTACCATGTGTGAGAACATAGCAGCAAGCGGTGCGAGGAGCCAGCAGGGTGGGCACTATTCCCCTGTGACTCGACCACAAAGCACCGATTCATCTGCCTTTACATACACTAGAATATTTGTCAATCTTTGTGGCCTGTGTGTATGTGTGCTCGCTCTAACATGCTCTGTTCAGACTGCTCTTCAGCACATAGAAGTCTGTTTCTTGAAATAAGTCATTGATATACAAACTCAAGGTCAAACTAGGAGGGCATATATCAAACAAAGCAGATAAAATCCCTGCAAACAGTCTGCACAGGCTGTTTTAAGATAAGACATCCTGATGAGAATAAGATACATGACACAGAGGCTGGAATCATAGTGATGTAAAGGTTAATACAGAGATGAAACGTTTCATGCAGGATATATATTTTTGGAGGCTTCGGTGATGACCTCAAAAAGCCAAAGAAATAACAACATAACATAAAACATTTTCCATTCACGCTGGAAAAATGACATGAAAGGAATAATTGAACATGTTTCAACCAACACACTCATTTTTACATTTTTATCCGACATACTTCTACAAGTCTTTATACTTTTACAAAATGGGAGCTTCCCATTGACGGAGATCAAACGAAGATTAACTTCATGGTGTACTCATTTTTTCCCTTGCATATGTGAGGATCATCTCCAGTGTTGCCTGTTAACAAGAGATAAGCTCCGACTCCTATCTCTTCATATAGTGGACAGAACTTAAAATAAAGCAGCCTCCCTGCATGCCTTAGATGAGTTACCTGGATGGCTCCAACCTAAGACTTCATGGGGAGACATCACTGCTAATGTTGGCAAAAATGCTGAGTCATGGAATGACAGGAATTTTTTCCGCTATTAAATTGACAACACAAGTATTAACCATGGGATACTTCGCAAGTGTACGTGGCAGAAAAGTGGCAGGCCAAAGATGGATGATGAACTCTGCAGTCATAACTCCAGATCTGAAGTCTGTCTTGGACACTTGAGTAAAGAGAAATGCAGAGCTGTCAACTGATGACCACCTATGGTAAGTTGGATCAGGTGATTGGGGAAGCTGCTATCCCTAATCAGGCTCAACGTGCAGTAGAGGTGAAATGGGTTCCTGCTCAGAGGATCCTCAACTTCTACCTTTGTAGAAACTTTTTCTGCTTTAAAGGGGAGGTTCAGGCCGTACAGACATTGGGGGGGGTCGCCACCTTCAGGTCTGCAAATTCCTATTTTTGTTCCAGTTGTTTTACACAAAAATACAAAAAAATAAATGTTTCTAAAACATTTTATTAAAGATTAATATTCTGGGTATAAAAGCCTCACTGGTTCGGCCCACAGACTGTTTTAAAGTTTCAATCTTGATCATATTTGATATACTATGTTTTTCATTTGTTGATTTGGTATTAGTAATGAGTTCTTTAGTGATACATTTTCAGAACAGCCTTATCTGCAGAAAGTTATTCCAGTTAGACACAGTTTTTTTATTATAATTAATAATAAGTGTTACGTTGGCTGTAAACAATTATATTTATAAAAAGTGTTGATTTTAACAAGACATAGTCAGCCACTATATTCACATGGCAGCCATTTTCCTCTGAATCGATGCTAATGTGTTAGCCGTCTCACAGCTGTGTGCTGTATGGGCTATCCCTAAAATTTGATATCTGACAAGTTCTTCGCATGTATGTGTGCACATACATGCTTCCATTATGCCATATCACATGACATCACAACATTTCATTTCATAAAGATTCTGATGGCATCAAATTATGTATATCCAATCATAAAACCATCCAAATGTTATAAACAAAGCTACAAAGCTGCTGAATCAATATGAGACGCTGTATGTCACAAAACTTCCACCAATTCAATTCTGACAAAAGTGATATCTGTCGTTTTGCTTTTATTTCGTTATGTCTAGATTATTGTAATGCACTTGTTTACCTGCTTCAGTACATGAGCCACAAACAAACTTCAGATCTCTGCAACCAGACTTCTCATAAAGACAAAGCAAACCTGACACATCACCTCTGTTTAAGCTTCACTTCACTGATTACCTGTTTCTTTATTCATTATTAAATTTGACTCATTCCCTAAAAGGCTTTATGTGGCCTGGCACTAGAATACACCAGCAGATTTTTTTAACGCCTTGCTGCCCCAAAAAGTCCTCTTAGATCGGCCACATGAGACCTGCTCATCATATCAAAGTCAAGGTCGAGGTCAAAGGTTAATCAAGCTTTTGCTGTGATGGCTCCTCAGCTCTGAAACAGACTCCCACTCAGGGAGCAGACTCTGTTTCTGCTTTTAAAATCCTGTTTTAAGACACAGTTTTATAGACTCACCTTTTTAGCCAACAGCTTATTTTATAAGAGCCCTGGAGTACATTTTTTAACTGAACTAAAATAATCTTTTAACTGTATATTTACATTTTGATGTTTTGTGATTTTATTTTCCTAATTGTGATGTTTTTCTCACTTATCTCTGGAAAGCCCTTTAATGCTCTCGTCTTCAAAGTGTTATATAAATAAAGTATTGTTACCTAAATGCAAGATAACACTGCTGCTTCAGTGATAATAGTCTGATTAGATCAAATTCTCTACAAACGATGGCACTGGATCTCTATAACAAGCATCTGCTGCCCCCTTGTGGATAAAAAGAGACTTCAAGAAACATAAAGCCTGAAAGAAAACAACCATCTGGTGTTCATCACTGAGCAATCTTCAAAGATTTAGAAAGGATAGACACATTTTATTTTTGTTAAGTTGTAATTGTTTGAATACTTCTTCTGTCTGGCTGTTGGACCCATGACCTTTACACGTGCTGCTGCACAGTGACACAAAATAAACTTCTTTTAACAGCCACCTAAAAACATCTCTTATTTAAAGAGAAATCTGTGACAGGGAGAAAATGTATACGATATAAGTATTGGGCCTTTTAAAAAGCTCTGTGCATCTTAAAGAGGCCAAAATCCAATGTCTGGTTGCTGTGATCTTTAGGTCCTCAGACGGAGCTGTGTTAAAAACAGACATGATTCTGTTTAGGACATCACTGTACTACAAAGACAGTTAGACAAACCTTCATCGTACAGGCCTCTGAGGTCCAGTGGAAATGGGCTGTCAGGTTCACACTTGTAATGCTGATTTTGGTCACAAGGTGGAAGCAATTAAAATATTATAAATGTCGGCGCGTCAAGTGCATCTTGGTCCTTCTTCCTGCTTAAACAACAAACACTGTGGAGATTTGTGAGGGGACAGCGCTGTTTTACTCTTAGATGATTGGTTTATATACATCCTGTTAAATTTCAAGAATAAAAACAGAAAAAAAATGATATCTGTATTTATGAGCTGTATTAAGAGATCATGTTGTTGTATCAGGTGTGTGTGTGTGTGTGTGTGTGTGTGTGTGTGTGTGTGTGTGTGTGTGTGTGTGTGTGTGTGTGTGTGTGTGTGTGCTGTTATGGGGCTATAACTGCAGGTTGTGTAAGGTCTGATATGAACCAAGTAATGAAATTAAAAAGGCAAACAAAGAAAAGAAACCTCAACACATTAATTCAGGTTTATTTAAAATATACAAAGATTCAAATATTTTGCATTGGGTCTGTAGCATACAGTGTTTGTGCAGAAGTAAGCAAACAACAAGACTGAGACGAAGTTAATCCAAAAATATTGTCTTCACCTTCAATCAAACACTTTTGGATTGAACTTGATATTCTGACTGAAAGACATTGGAAAACTTTGGGTTCGTTTTACATCTTGGTTGATTTGAGAAGAAGACATGACAGAAGCTCAGGATTACTCTACATCAGGGGTCCCCAACCATCGGGGCTCGGGCCGTTACCGTTACCTCAGAAATATGACAGCTGCTGTCTGGTCCATGATGGGTACCTCTGGTTCTACATCACATCAGTCAACTTCTTCTCTTCTTGAACACACTTTTAAACTGTTAGCATGTCAGTGTGCCTGCAGCTTGCTGTAGATCATGTCTTTGCTGGCTGCTGCAGTCTGACCCTCATAGATGGTAGAGTCAATATGGTACAAAGACCGCTGGGAAAAGACAGAAACCAACTTGATCATCTGGTATATCTGGAAAAATGTGATTATTGTTCTTCCTGTCAGACTCATTTTAATTGTCTTTACTTTTCCTTTTTTAAGGGGTGTGCTGATTTAAGGGGAGACGAGTCAACTACCAGAGATGGAGGATGATGTAATAAAGTAAACTTAGAAACAGGATTGGGAAAGATGCAGTTTTTTAGATGCATTAACTCAATAAAATGTTATTTGTTTAGCACAATTCATACAAAATTAAACTCAATATGCTTGACAGAAGAGAAACAAAAACAAACACAATACAATACGGTTGATTTCCAGGTCATTGATCACATAGTGGCAGTTTCAGTGCTGCGGTTTGCTCTGTAACCTGATTGGTACAGATCACACAGACTGTGAATGGATGGTAACCGTAATTGTTTGTAGAATTTGACTGAAGGTTGGAGATTGGTCTGTAGTTGGTAATGATTGATGGGTCAGGTTTGTTGTTTTTATTAGTAAAGGAGTAACTGTAGCAGGTTTTAGAGAAGTGGGGAAAACCAGTCTGAAGAGAATCATTTACAACATGATGTAAGTCATGTAACAGGCTGTGAGGGACACATTTACACAGTTTTGTGGGAATAGGGTCAAGAGGAGAGGTAGGTACTGTACAGTACTAACTTGGACACATGTGGGCTGATGAGAGGAGCCTGATAGGGTGGAATTGCTGTTACATGATTTCAAAGTGTAAGTTCTTATTCTCAAGATTTTATTTTATTTTTTTAATTAGTTTGCAACTGGCGACCTTATTACATTTAAAGAGAGTAATTCCTCAGCATTTGACCTATAAGGATTTAATAGTTTACTAACTGTGAAGAAGAGATAGTGAGTATTATTTGTATTGTAATTTATCATTTTTGAGATGTGTTGCTGTTTTGACATTTTCAGTTATTTTTTTCTGACAGGTCAGTATACTTTTTCTAGATTTAAAAATATATCTAAAGCTTTTAATCTCACCATTTTTGTTCAGCCTTTCAGCGAGATTTTGAGTATCCTCACTTGTTCTCCATTCCTCCCAGGAGTCTTTGTTTTTTTCTTTAATAGTAGACTTTTCTAGTCTTCTGACTACTCAAAGCGCTTTTTACACCTCAGGTCACATCTATTCATTCACACACTGATGACAGAGGTCGTTATGTGAAGTGATCATCAGAAGTGACTAATCCCATTCATACACATGCATACGGCAGCAACAAAGCAGTGGGAGAAACTTGGGGTAAGTGTCTTGCCCTTGCCCACATGTGGCTGCAGGAGCTGGGGTTCAAACCCCCTGACTGTCCGGTTGAGAGACGACTCGATCACTGATCCACAGCCGTGTTGTTTTATTGGCTTTTGACGGGAGCAGTGCTGCCAATGATTTGACTAACAACAGAGTTAAATTGGCCCTCATCTCATCACATGATGACATGATTATGGTTCATGTATTAATATACATATCAGTGGTATTGTCATTAATAGAACGCATATTTGAAATGATAACCATATTGTCATGTCCTGGTTTGCAGGTCATATTAAAAAAGATGCAGAAGTGATCTGAATTGCAACATCGAGAAAAGCAGTAACCGTTATTACTTTACTGTGTCCTTTAAATAGAATCAGGGCGATGGTGTGACCTTATTTTCGTGTGGGCCCCTTAAACCGCTGTGAGAACTCAAATGCTTCTAGCACATTTAATAACAGTTTTGTGTTCAGATTATTGATGTGAATACAAAGTCACCAGAAATTACAACACAGTCATAGGTAATGGAAACTTTTGAATGCATCAATAAAATATGTTCTTAGTTTAGGAGGGTGATACGAGAAACATTATGGGAACTACAGCTTAGACAACCACCATGGGCGGTTCTGGGCAGGGGCCAACAGGGGCCAGTGCCCCTGTGACACTGAGCTTGGTCCCCCATGTGGCCACCCCTCCAAAAGGAAGAGCCCCCCTAATAACACATACACAGTATTTAACTCAACAACCGTACTCACAATCTACTGTGATATTAACGGAAACAAATGTAAATTATGGTATTTAATGATGTGCACTATTATTTAGCATAATATATATATATAAAAGCAATTATCTTTGTCCATTTTTCACCTTGGTTTAATGTTCCCCTCTAACAAAACAACTGGCCCCAGTTTGGCCCCCTCAGTAAAAGTGGTCTATAACTGCCACTGACAACCACAGCTAAGAATTGAAGGTTGTGAAACACTTTATGTTATTAAGAAATGCACCTCACCTCACCTCCAGCTCACGTTCAGAAGTGCTATGAGATATGAGATATGAGATATGAGAGTGTTCTCACCGACACTGTCTCCATGTCTCAGCGCTGTGGTCTACCACGCTTGTCTTTTACTCAGTTTGAGCTGCAGCTCTTTGTGGTTATTTATGCGCAAGCTGACATTTACCACAGAAGTTATTTTAATAGGCTAGCTGTGAACCATGTGAACTCAACAGTTGCCATTTTTTTCGAGGTCTCCTCAGCGGAGTCTTCAATCATGCTTCACCAAAACCTTTACAGCTGGGTGCATGTTAGAGCAGCCATTCAAACCTGACCCCTTTTACTGACATCAATGTTTTCTGATGTCTTCTCCAAATGCACCTTCAGTAAATTAAACACTATTTAATTCATTATACCCGAAATGCATTACAATTTAGTTTTAAATGTGTCTGTCTGAAGTAGTAGCTCTTACAAGTACATATTCAAAGTAGATTTTTAACCCTTCAATAGGGATTAAAGGGACAGCTGTGTCTCAGTGGTAGAGTCGGTCTCTCAACCAGGAGGTCAAGGGTTTGATCCCCAGCTCCTGCAGCCACACGTCCAATCTGTCCTTGGGCAAGACACTTAACCCCAAGTTGCTCCTGCTGTTAATACTTGTCTGTAAAAGGGATCTTGAATAAATACAATGTCATACCTGTGGTTGTGATGAGTGATGGCATTCTCTGGGTCCTTCTGGACTCTTTCTCTACAATACCTGCAGCAGAAGAGGTTAGAGTGATGTTAATGTCAATCTACATGACAACAAGCATTGCTTCAGCTGCTTCGTCAGCAGCATATGAATTTGTATGAATGGATTAGTTCATACTGATGGACACTTGACATTGCAACCTCTACCATCAGTGTGTGAATGTGTAAGCGTGACCTGCAGTTTAAAAGTGCTTTGAGTAGGCAGAAGACTAGGAAAGTGCTATACAAGCTCAAGTACATTTACCATTTTGCAATCGCTACTTTTAGAGCTTACAAATATTTCACTACAAAAGAAAAACTGAAAGAGTAAAGTTTAAAAGTTTGATATTTCAGTCTTCTACATAACAGAAGATTCTGACATCATTTGACTCACCAGCTCTTCTTTTCTTCCAAAGAATAACAATAACAATCACTGTGATGACCACAGTAGATCCACAACCAGTGAAAACCCAGACAAACGTCCAATTCCACAATTCTTTAGTATCCGGAGGACTTACAGTCGGACCTTCACAGCCAAAACAGTTTTACAACAAGAAAAAGAGAACCATTTGAATATATCATGCATTGATATTAATATTGGTCTAGCTTTCATTTAATTCCCAGGTGCTGTCTTATTTGAGGCCGCAGTAATACCTGTATCTTAAAAGCACACAAACACAAAAACATTCAAACGTACCATTATCTTTGAACATAAGTGAAGAAGCATTGACTCTGTGAGTGTCTGACTTTTAACAAGGAATGTTTTTTATTAACCCAGAGTGTTTTGGGCAAAAAGTGGAAAAGACAAAAATCCCAGATGGTTAATGTCCCTCTGTGTACAAGCTCAGTCATAAATGCCCAGATTTACAGTCACTCTGCTGTTGAAACATCACTATTGTATTGTACATGATGTTGTAGGGCAGGTGACAGCTAGGAAAGACTGGCGGACAACTTGGAAAGACCAGTTGACAGCAGGACAGACTGCAGCAGGAGTGGGCGGCTAGTCACCCTACCCACTTGCAACCTGGAAGCCCCAGGATGCACCAAGCAGAACAAAATAAAACAACCTGAAGGCCTTCCGAGAGAAGATGGGCCTACCAGGACGGAACAAGAGGTAACGACAGGAACAGAAAACAACAATGAGAAAATCCTCCGTGACATCATGTAGGGGATTACACATCCATCAGGGGTAGATGAAAGGCAGACAGACCAACGACCTCGCATTGTGCAAGCAGTTCAGACGATAGGGACCCAAAGCTGGGATTGCAACCCAATGGTGCTGGAATGTGGGAAGTAGCAGAAAGAGGTCCTGTGATGGAGAAGGTAAACAACATAGATGAGGACACAGGCCTACCAGTGGCACGCCCCACTAGTCTGCAGTATTAATAGTTTGCTAGTAATAGCAAAGCAACCAGGGAGACACATCCAGATCAAGTGGCCAAAAGCGAAGGATTTTGGCCACTTGAAGGCCAAGGCAGAAACTCGATGCAGACTTGAGCCACCTGCTGGAGCTGTCCTTGAGAGGAGGAGTCAAAAGCAGGCTTAACATCTTCAGCAAGATCATCCATAAGGAGTGCAGAGTGAAGTTTGGGGAAATCAGGAGGAAGCAGCCCACAGCCCAGAGAATGGGAAGGATAGAGAGGGACACCAAACAACTTGTCAGAACCAACTCAGCCAGAACTAGAGGAAAGCTGCACCCAATGAAAAAGTCGGCCTGAAGGAGCTGTGGGACGAGATCAAACAGAAGCTTGCCCAGCTGCACAGGACCGAGAGGATCAGAAGGAGGAGGAAGAAGAGAGAGAAGGAGACAGTGGTAAGCTAGACGCCACCAAGGAGGAGATGGAGCAGTATTTTATTTATATTATTAATAATTAAGTATAATTATTAAAGAATATAACCAAAGTTGACTTGATACAACCCCAACAGGAGGTATCAAGTTACCAGGCTTCTCCCGCTTAGGAGTTGAATTGACGTCGTCAGAAGCATCCTTCAGACGGCTCCATGCACGGATAGGCTCCTCAATCGCCTTGATGAGCTCATCACAAGGGCAAGAATGAAGATCAAGGTAGAAAAATCAAGAAGTCTCTGCTTGAGGAAAGGGGTGCCACAGAACAAGACCATCTTTGTTGCTGGTGGATAGCCCATCCCACGACTGTCAGTAAAACCTGCAGACTTTTCTGACAGACACATGGGGAAGCTAGCCAAGCAACAACTTGCGGAGGGCCTGGCAAAAAATCGACCAATGCCATCTGCCAGGGAAAATACAAAGTGTGGTGCTACCAACACACACTGTACCATCAAGTGTTGTGGCCACTAAAGGTCAGCGAGATTCCATCATCAGAGGTCAGCAGGATGGACAGCCAAGCTAACAACTACATCCGAAAGTACTTTTCATCAGACATTCTCGATAAGAAGTACCTATATTACGAGTGTTGAGCGACAGCGGTGAGAAAATTGTCTTCTCGTAACACAACAACATTTTATTTATCTGTGTTCTTCCTCGTCCTTTTCCAGTTTTCCCTTTTTGGAATGACGATTACAGACTACCGCCACCTGCTGACATGGAGAGTTATTGCCTCTCATGCATGCGCAGAACGTACGTGGTGGTTGGCCGTCGTCTGTAGTCTTTGCTGTGTGTTATAGTGCAACTTTTTGGCCAAGACAAAAGGTGTCGCCCGCCGACACCACAGGCGATCTTCGTCGCCACCAGTTCTTAGCCATCTGCTTGGTGTGTCAGGGCCTTAAAAGAACCCTGCTCTGTCAGTCTGTGCAAAACAATACACCATTCATATGTTGTCTGTGTCACAAGTCAAGCTCCAGATTAGCACCACCAGCTTCCCCTTCACTACCTGCAAGCCTTACCTGTTCTGTGTCTGCACCTGGGATCAGCCATAACCAATCAGCTGATTATCAAACATTTACATTCAAGTCACGCAAATTACGCAAACCTTTTACCTAAAAAGAAAGGCGATGAAGTTGGTAGCTTTCAAAAGTGGTTCCTTTTTTGTTCAGATAAGACAATCTATATCTGAGGCACTCAGACTTCTTCAAAAGCCTTTAAGTTGGATACTCGCACTGAAGAGCACCAGAAGGATTAATTATCAAAACTTTTTTCAACTTCCATGCAGCACTCCATGCATCTGCTTTTTAATCTAATGGAGCTTTTGCACAGTTTCAGGATACAACTGCCCCTGCTCTCCCCGGATTGTAACACAATTGATCTAAGTCAGTCCGTTGACTTCTGGCTTTAAGGTTATCTGAATTATTCAACATAGAGCGTAAACACACTGCATAAAACAGTCAAATAATCCCACACAGCAGGAAAGCTTTCTTCACAAAGAGGTATGAACCTGTATATCCATCACCGATATCAGGTTGAGCAATCAATAACCATCAACCATCCATGTTGTCTTGTGCTGAAACTGGCATTGAGGTTAAAGCAAAATTAAACGCGTCACCTGATTCTGGTTTCACTGATGTTGAGTGGGCAAAGTTGGGACCATCATTGTTACTTGCTGTGCCAACAGTCCAACCTTGTTAATTAAAAAAATATAATTTCAAAATAAACATAATGAAAAAAAAAAATTAAATGTATTACGTAAATGATTATATTACCTGATGTTTTTTTCAAAGGTCTCACAATAGTGGAGGCACTAGAGCTACTTGTAGGCAGACCTGGTGAATAAAGTAAATTATTAGAGTTAATAATACTTGTTTGTAAAAGTGATCTAGAATCATAAAATGTCCTACCTGTGGTTGTGATAAGTGATGGCGTCCTCTGGGTCCGTCTGGACTCTTTCTCTACAATACCTGCAGCAGAAGAGGTTAGAGTGATATCAACGTCAATGTGCTTGACAACATGAGACATATCAGGCTTTCTTTTGATTTCCAGCACGGAAAAACCTCCTCTGTTTTTGCTGATGGAGAGGACTATAAAACTTTGATGATAAAACCCAATAATAACTGTCAAAAACTGGTATATGGCTATCCAAAAGTGGATTTATCTTAATTTACTTGATTCTAATCCTGACAAAACTGATATATAATTTTGATTGGACCAGATACCTTCACCAGTGAAGTTGATCAGTTAATTGTTATAATCTCTGACCAACGTATGACTTTGATCATCATACCACTAAGTTTGTCCAGGCAAACTCCCGCTGTGTGGGATTTATTTAAAGGATAAATCAGGAGACTATTGGACCTATGTGTGAAAAAATTACGTTTTAACAGGAGTCTGAAGTTTAAGGAAAATGTGGGACTGTAGTTTTATGTGACAGTGCTAGTTAGTAAATGATGGTAAAAGAGTAAGCAACACTGAAATATGCAGTAGGCTATACTCACCTTGATCAGCAGGTGAAGTTACAATAGAAACTGAGGTTGTCAAAGTGCTGAGACTCTCCTTGTTTGAGTTTGTCTCACCTAAAAATAAAATCAAATGTTTTGTGCACGACATTTACACCACAGGGTTTTTCTTCTGCTGATCCAGCTTGAAGACAGATTTACTTACTTTGAACAGAGACAGAGGAATATTCACTTTCTGGAGATCGAGCATTTCTGTCTCCACTCTGAACAGTGTAAAAACATTTCACTTTGACCTCAGCAGGTGAACTCTGATGATCCATCTTCAGCAGTTCACTTCCTGTCAGTGTCTGCAGACAGGAAAATGTCCTCACAGTTCCTCCACTTAAAGTGAAGTACTGACACTGAGACACTGATGATGGAGTCTGACAGTTCAGTGTGACTGAGTCTGTCTCTGTGATCACCGCTGGATCACAGTATAATACATGTTCCACCAGTGCTCCCATTAGTATGTTTGTTTTGGTGTTTTTATGATTAAAAACAATAGAAACAACAGATTGTCTTATATAATCACTCTCAAAATAATTATTAAAACACACAAAACAATTGTAGCTCAAATACATATTAAATCTGCAGAAGCATTTTCATTCAAATAAATCACTTGACAAATGTATACTTATAGAGGATGCCTTTTGACAATATTCCAACTCTTTAAATCAGACTGCTTGAACCAATTTGTTTCTTTCTGATTATCACAAAATAATAAATAATATTGACAACACTTGTATTACTCACTTTGTATGCTGATGGAGACTGTGTCACTGTGTGGAGATAGAAAATTTCTGTCTCCAATCTGAACAGTGTAAAAACATTTCACTTTGACCTCAACAGATGAACTCTGATGATCCATCTTCAGCAGCTCACTTCCTGTCAGTGTCTGCAGACAGGATAATATCTTCACAGTTCCTCCACTTAAAGTTTGGTAATAACACTGAGACACAGATGATGGAGTCTGACACTTCAGTGTGACTGAGTCTGTCTCTGTGATCACTGCTGGATTCACTGTAAGTTTAGGTGGAAGACGAGCTGAAAATATAAACAATTAATATGTTTTATCAAACTCAAACATAAGCTGTATATAAATGTTTAAATTCTTCAGTAGTGCAGCGATCACAGCACAGTTAGACATGAACCATGAGAGATCACAGACTGACCTTCTGTTTGAATCCCATTAAAGACATCTGTTTAAAAAACACAGTGAAAGTAAGGTGACTACACATAATAATAACTCCAAGAGTTCACACATTTCAACTCCTCCAACTATTCATTTATTTTAATCAAAAGTAGAATCATTAACTGAAACAAAAATAGATTTTATTTGTCACAACTGGCAGAACACAAAACACAATATCACCGACTCAAAGCTTAATCACTGATATGATATCTGACATGACACATTAACGTCATGTTTCAATCTGCAGAGCTTTATAATAGTCCACAATAATACTGAATAAATCAATAAAGGTTTTACTTACACATGAAGAAGACAAACAGCAGACGTCCGGCCATGATGAAGCTGAACACTGAGACTGTACAGAGGATACGTGTGTGTCTCACTGTGTGGACTTTGTGGTTAATGAGACCAAGTTCTTAAATTAGATACATGAGAACGACAGCTATTACCAGAAATGAGACCCACTGACAGACAAACCACAGCTTAACATTTAAAGAACCATTTTTAAAAATTGAATATCCCACATTGGAAACTAACATCTGTAGAAAGATGACATAGTGTATGTAGGTGAAACATATGCCTACAGTACACTTCACTAACACACTGAGCTTGTTCATAGTCTGCTCTCACTAAAGACAAAGTTTGTTTCATTTTTTCTTCATCATTAAAACAGTTTATTCACACATTTGCCTCCTCGAGCTTTATGTTTCTTCTGGTTGTTCAAAGTGATTGATCTCAAGTTTTTAGTCATTGTATGAACAATATTTTATATACAGTTGTGATAGATTTGTGTCTCTTGTATTATAATGTGTTTAATATTGTAGTTTGTTTTCATTTATTTAATTCTGGTCATTGCAGTGAACAGCTGTTCAAAAAGCTGTTTCCTGCTAAATGCATCGTAGTTTCACATCAGACTCTGTAGTGGAAATTATCAAGCCATACACTGCCACCCACTGGTCAGATGTAGTAAATATAACAAACGTGTCTTCAAAATCAAGATTGCCTTCACAAAGTCATTCCCACGAGGCTCAGGAATGTCTTTCCAATCCTGTTATTCCAGACAACCCTTTTTTTATGAAAATGTTTTTAACCAGGAGAAACATCATTGATATTAAGAATCTCATTTACAAGAGTGTCCTGACCAAGAGGGGCAGCAGCACAACAAGCATGTTACAGACATAAAACACAGAGTAATTACAAACACAGATCAACATGTCCTGAGTCACAGAGAAGAAAAGTCATTATTTAAAGCATCTCGCATTTTCCTCCAACACCTTCAATCCACTTTAAAAATGATAAAAAGAGAGACCAGCTCCCCAAGACAAAGATCATCCTGAAGGAGATTCCAGCCAGCAGGAGCAGCGTACCTGAGACTCCTTTTCCCCGTTTAAAGACACAGTTTGGGGACAGATAACAATACGTTTTGTGACTGGCTCGTAGAGCAAAGACCTAGCTTCCAGTCCTTTTCGCATGAATACAATTACACAAGTGTGAGGGAAGCAGGTTAAAGGGATACTTCACCCATTTGCATTAAGTTTTGTATCATTAGAAACCTGGTAGTATTTTTGAATGGTCGTGCATCCCACCCTCATTTTCCCCTGAGATGGGAAATCTTTGTATTTCTAAGTCTGAAAAGGAGCTTCCAGTGACGCAAAATGACGATTTTTGCGTCACTGGAAGCTGTTGTGGTTAGCGGGGTGAAACTACAACGCTAGTTCCTCATATTTTCGACCACTGAAGCTACAGACCAATCACAGATCAGTGGGTGGGAACTCGCTCCCAGAATCTAAACTTAACGTCCACCATATTGCTTGGAAGCCTGTAGGCAGCAACCGTCTCTATATTGCTATATTGCCGTCGCTGGCCACCGCCAGCTCAGCAGCAGAGACATGATGCCTGCCTGTCGGCGGCGGTGAAGACGAGGAGCCGGGGCCGGCTCGAGCTGGGGCGGACTAGTAGTGTTGGTGCTCTCACTGTTTGCCTATGGACACAGACATAGAGTCCGTTTTCTGCCAGAAATTTTCTTAGATCAATTCTGGAAGAAATCTCTGAATCAGTTGAGGAAATGGTCTTATGTGTTGAAGTAAATATGTCTGTAAATGTTTTTATTACTATATTTCTACTGCTATGCTGTATATTTTGGAGAAACTGTAACGATCAAATTTCCCTCTGGGATTAATAAAGTATTTCTGATTCTGAATTAGAGGACCTTAGTGGGAGTGGCCTGCGGTGCATTCTGGGATTTGGTGTCTTTCATCAACATGAGCCAAAAAGACACTTTCTGCCTTTTCACGGCCAAGAAGGCACCAACTTCAAAATGTATTTCACATTTCTACATATGACCCAATGTCAATACAGATTCATGTTTCAACAGGTGAAGTGTCCCTTTAAGTATAGCCTTATAAATAAGGACATGCCAATGAGTTTGTCTACTCATGGACAATGCAGGCCAGCCGCTTGATCATACAGTACAATCAAATCATCAATCAATCAGAGGCATAATGTAGCATCAACAAGTCATTTCAACATCAAGTAAAAACTAAGGAACGATATTATTGTTGAAATTCTAGATATTGATTTTAGGTTTGGAGAGACTTTGCTGATCTTAACAATATTTGATGGGGATTCAAACTTTTTTTGAAATTAATAGATTTATATTTTTAAACCATTACTTTTGAAAGATTTGTTTTTGACATACATTATTTTTTCTTTGAGTTATTACATACTGTAGGTTTCATTGAAGGTGTTAATTCAGCAAGAGCTTAAGTCTGAATTCAAACCCCAGCTCTCCCATTTTTTAGGAGAAACAACTTCAAAAATGAAAGACAGAAAACCTTCAAAATTCAAATTCAAGAAACTCAAAAGGACTCAATCCAGCCCATTGGACATATGGACACAGTGGATGGCTGTTGCTCAGAAATAGAGTTGGTTGTTTCTCAACAGGAAGGTCGGGGCTTCTATCCCCAGCTCCTGCAGTCACATGCCCGATGTGTCTCTGGGCAAGACACTTAACCCCAAATTGCTCCCAACTGCTTCATTTGTTGGCACATGGATGTGTATGAATGGGATTACTTCTGATAGACACGTAACATAGCAGCCTCTTCCATCAGTGTTTGGATGTGTAGGTGTGACCTGCAGTGTAAAAGCTCTTTGAGTAGTTAGAAGACTAATAAAGCACTATACAAGCCCAAGTCCATTTACCATTTGCATGTGACAAACAGAAAATGTGTTTTATGAAGAAACAAAAACTATTTGTTTTTTTCGATTCAGAAAAAAAATAAAAATAGTAATTTTAGCATGATGACACTTCTGTGACTTCTTCAAATGTATAAATAATAATAAAAAAACGTCTAAAGTTTTTTATTTAGTAGTATGCTACATTGGTGGATCATAAGTGCTTTGAAAACAACCCTTACATTCATCCCCTCATCTATCGACCCTCATAATCATCCCTTAATCCAACTTCACTCATTACTTTTATCTCTGCCATGCTCATTACGATACTCATTATAAATTCAGATTTTTCTTGGCTTGGTCTTTGAACATATATATGTGATAGATTTCTGTCTCTATGGTGGTTTCCTCGTTCTCCTCTTTGTATTGTATTGTAGTGTGTTTGTATTTTTTCCCATCCCTTTGTGTTTAGTCAGGGTACATATGTGGATCATGAACACTTTAAAAACAAATATCAAGCTGAAGTTAACATGAAGAGCAGAAACATAGTTTGTTGTTATGTAGGATATATTTATTATTTCAAACATTGTGATACAGGAGATGTTATCTTCTAACTTTATTCAGTTTCTGATTTCTTTGTTTCTATTAATGCAGTAGACCAGTTCACCGTGCTAATGTCTACTTTGATAAAGATGTTATTCATTTAAGCAATGAAGCTGTACATGAGAAATAAATGTGATAATGATACAGGAAACAACATTTTCCTCTGAGCTAATGTCAGAGAGCTTTGAACACTCTGTATCTCTCTGAGCTGATGTAGCCTTCATCTCTGAGGTGCTGCAGTTTTCACTCTGAGAGAAATAAGAGTATAAGCTTAGTCGCCCTCATTGAGGTCTGAATACCTGCCAGCATTTTGTGTTTTTTCTTATCAAGTTATGATGTTTCTCAACTCACCAATGTTGCATTCATAGAAGACGATACTGTACGTTTCATCATAACCACCCTAAAAATAAAAAATAAAGTATAAACATACAATATGTCCAAATCATCTTAATGATCATCATCATAGTTTCAAAATCACCATCATTTATTCAGACTCTCAGTATCACCCACCCTCTCCTACCAACAATCACAGTCTGCCTTTAGCTGTCCTATTAATGAAGGGGGACCAGCAGCCTCCCCACCTTGACGTAGGAAGCAGGCCAGATTATGATCAGTAAACAATTATGTGTCCCATCACTATCTCCGTCAATAAATCTTATTGTGAAGTGGCTCAGTGCAAGAGTTGGTCATCTCTCAACCAGAAGGTTGGGGGTTCAATCCCCAGCCCCTGCATCTACATGTTCAATGGGTCCTTGGTAAGACACTTAAGCCCAAATTGCTCCCACTGCTTCACCAGCGGTGTATGAATGGGATAAATTACTGCCTCTGTTATCAGTGTCTGAATGTGTCGGTGTAAAAGTGCTTTGAGAAGTTAGAAG